CCCCTACTCCAAATGACTTATTCTACAAGTCATCAGGGTATGGGGTGTGTGGAGGTGGGTGGGTGTGGGGTGTGGGGTGTGGGGTGTGGGTGTCGTTCTTTTTGAATGGTCTAAGCATCTGCACCCACACCAACACCCACCCATACCCTCACACCCACATCCACACCCACACCCACACACCCACACCCACACCCACGGTGTGGGTGTGGGTTTGAAGGTAATTGTGGATGAACCTGTCCATGAATAAATACTAAAATCCACACTCCACACCCACACACCCACATCCACACCCACATCCACACCAACACCCACATCCACAGCAACACCCACAGCAGTACCCACACCAACACCCACACCCTTCAGTAGTTTAACAATACCATTTAATATAAAATTATTTATCATGTTTATTAATCATATACCGAATATTTAAACTTGTTGCACAGCATTGCTTCAATTTAAGCTTTGGATTGTTTTATTCGTCTCGAAACAGATTGAGAAATAGAACCTTTGATCAAATTATCATGTCATTTTTTTCAGATCACTTGTCATAAGAAAATGCAATTTAGAACTAATGCTTCGGTACCAATCAATATGTATTAAAAGATCATGCGATGAATTATAATAAATACTGATCGAATAGACTTGTACCAAATTATGAATGTCCTTTTGAAGTACTGTCTTGAAATGTTGATTAGGAATGAACAAATTAAACAAAGTTCGATTATCATTTGCCTTAAATATATACTTATTGTTTTCAGCTATTTCTCTCCAAGATCAGCAAGCATGTGATATAACAAATAATGAAATGAAGTTCTGAGTTCGACTACTCTAATAATAATGCTTCACCGAAGTAGGTGGGCTTTCATCAAAAGAGTAAAATTGCAACAAGTTTTCTTCCCAAATCCGCGAAACTTTATTCTACATCTTCATAACTCAAAGTTTGATGTTCAAAGAAAAAAACAATAATTGAAGATGATCCCTTTCTATGCCGCTCTCGAACAATCGCTCTAACTAGACATCTAGAAGGATTGATTAGTATAAACCTTACCGTTGAAAAGGAAAAGCAGACAGCCTTGAATGACTCATCTATGCAAATCGCCCATTATCTTGAGAGTGAGGATGATAGATCTATCTTCACACTAACCATTAAATTAATTCTTTGAATTTCATTCACCGCTCATCAGACTTACAAGCTGGCTTATTAACAATCATATAGAAAGACGTACACTCCTCGCCTCTTGCTAATGGCAATAACCGCAGCCCCGCAGTTGTTTCCATTGAGAAGTTATTGAAAAAGCAATCACCCTTATTTTATTTTGAAGTGAATAATAAAAAGAGAAAAGCAATAAATGATGAAAAAATAAAAAGAGAAGAAAAATGTTTTATGATGATAACGATAGGACTGAATTGGCATGGTCAATGTGGATATACCATTTTTTTCTAGAAATGAAGCAATATCTCATATATTTAGAAGAAAATAATCCTTAAATGATGATCTTAAAGAGAAAATGAACAAATAATGGAATAAAACATCAGAAAATATAAATGAAAAAATAATATTAACTTTTTCATTCACATTTTCTGAAAATTTTCATCCATAAGCTATATTCACTTCATTAATCATCACTTCAAAACTATTTATACTGACATCACCTACCTGATTTAATCAATAGCTGTATTTAAATATACTTCTCATTTTGAAACACTGGTTAATCTTTTGACAATATCATTACATATTATAGACCAAATGAATATTCAGACAAAAATTTTGTTCAAATATTTTACTCAGTTTCAAGAAAAAACATTGGAGTTGATAAATAATCGACGATCATCTAACAAATAAATCCTAGCATTAAAATTTTACTCAAATATGTTCTCACTTTGAAGCAATAAATTTGTAGTTAGTAGTGTGATCGAAGATTGCAAGACGAATGAACAGTCAAACAAATGTTTCAATCGAACATTTTACTCACTTCGAAGCAACAAGTTGAAATCGATGATATGACTAAGGATCGTATGAGAAATGAATAATTCACATGAAACTTTTATTCAAATGTTCTATTCACTTCAAAACAAAAACTTTGGAGTTGATCATTTGATTAAAGATCAAATGGTAAATGAATAATCCAAAAGCAGGTCGTACTCAAATATTCTATTCAATTCGAAGCATTGATTTTGGAATGGTAATATGATCAAGGATCACAGAGCGAATGAATACTAAAATGAAGATTTCCTTCAATTGTTTTTCTTACAGAGAAGTAAATGTTTGACACTAATAATATGAGCGAGGATCACATAACAAACGAAGACTCAAGCAAAGATTTTATTAATATATTCTGCTCACCTCAAAGTTAACAATTTTCAGCCAATAATATTAACAACAATCATACGACAAATGAATAATAAAAAACAAATTTTTATTTAAATATATCATCCACTTCAAAGCAAACGTTTTGTATTGATAATATGGTTGAAGATCACTCGCCATATGAATAAATACCAGAAAAGTTCTACTCAAATATCCTACTTACTTTGAAGCAACAGTTTGGAATTATAATATGATTGAAGATCACATGCTAAACAAATAACTTCAAGAAACATTCCATTCAAATCTTTTATTTCCATCAAAGTCAAAAGTGTTGAAATAATGATATGAACAAAGTTCATCTTGCAAATGAATAATTCTAAGGAAGGTTTATTCAAATTATTTGCTCATATCAAAGGAAAAATATGGGTTTCATTAGAGAAAAAAAGGTCATACAGCGAATGAATAATCTAATTGACGGTTCTATTCAACAATTCTAGTCACATTAAATCACATTGAAACAAAAGCTTGCAGTTGATAATATAAAAGAAGATTACATGTCAAATGAATGATTCAAAACAACATTCTATTCAAATATCGTATACAGATCAAATCCAAGAGTTTGAATCGATAATATGATCGAAGATCATGTAGAAAATAAATTGTTCAACTAGTACAACAAGTAATACAAAGATCATATTCACATATTCGATTTTCTTCGAAACAATAGTTTAAAGTTGATCTTATGATTAAAGATTATGTAACAGATCAATAAATCAAATTAATAGCAAAGTTTTATTCGAGTATTTTAGTCATTATTTTACGATGGATCACCACTCTATTGTTAAATACAATGTTGCGTGAATAATGAGTGTCTTCTACGTTTCTTTATGAATTTGCGGAAATTGGGTTGGAACATCGCATCATCACCATTGTATTCCATGGCTTGTTCGATCACCCTTGCGATGCATAATTGTAATACAATAGCCAACACTACAACGATGATAATTGTTTTGCTGCTCTTGTTCATTTTTCAACTGTTAGCGACGAAAGACGAATTGACTTGTTATAGTATTAAAAGAAAATATTAATCTGTATGATTATAAAACTAAACTCCCTTTCTTATATATATATCTGTCGATCATCATTGTAGAAGAAATCAGAAA